TTCACAAATGAATAATGTTTTAGCATTTAAGAATCTGAGAATGTGATTTACCACACCAACAGATTAAAAAAAACCCATATGATTATCTTGAAAGATGTAAGCAAAAGCATTAATAATATACACATACCACAACCTTTCAACAAACTAGGAATAGAACTTCCTTAGCCTAAAAACACAGACAAACAAACATAACCCACAATTACCAACAGCTTGTAGGACACACCATATGTAACTAATGGTGAAATACAAAATCATTTCCTTTAAAGTTAGGGAGAGAGGAAAAGGATGCTCACCATAAATGCTCCTACTTAACTCCAAAGTTTCTACTTAGCACACAAAAAATATGAAAATGAAATGAAAGGTATTAAGGATTAAAAAAGAAAAAACATAGCTGTTAATATTTCAGAGGATGTGATTATGTATATAGAAATCTAAAAGGATCTACAAACTAATGAAAGATTTCATCAAAGATGTAACATAAAATATATAGAAAATAATAACAGTAACAAATTAGAAAATGCCAATTATGATAAGAAAATCCATAAAGTATTCTACAGCTTTCCCTACAAGTTTAAGGAAAAAAAAAAATCACCTTCATTAAAGACTTTTAAAAAGATCTATTGATAGAAAGATTCAATTCTGTAATAATGACTCTGATCTTCAAAATTAATCAGTAAATTTATTATAATTCAAAACAAAATGCCACCAGGATCTTTCATAAAACTCACAAGCTGATTTTAAATTTCATATGGGAAAACAAATAGTCAATTTTGAAGAACAAGGAAGGGAAACCTTGCCTTGCCAGATACAAAGATTATAAAGCCATAATAATTAATTAACACAGTACAGACTTAATAAAGAGATAGAACAATAATAGTAATAAAAGAAAATAGAAACTCTGGAATTGGAAAAGCACAATACCCAAAGTGAAAAATTAACAAAAGGGGCTCAACAGCAGATTGGAAATGATACAAAAATGAGTCTGTGAGCTAGAAGATAGACCAATAGAAATTATTTAATCTCAAGAGCTGAGGAAAAATGATTGGGGAAAAAAACAAAAAACGAAAGACATAACAAAAAAAACCAAACCAGTATCCAGAAACATGTAGTACAATATGAAGTATACAAACGTGGGTAATGGTAATGCCAGAAGGAGAAGGGCAAAAGAACAAGACTGAAAAATTATTTGAAGAAATAATGGCCAACAATTTCATAAATGTTACATAAAGCATTAATTTGCCAAATCCAAGAAGCTCAATGAAGCCAAATTAGGATAAACACCTTGACACATCATAATCAAACTGCTGAAAGTCAAGGGGCACCTGGGTGGCTCAGTTGGTTAAGCATCTGACTCTTGATTTTGGTTCAGGTCATGATCTCATGGTTCATGGGATCAAGCCCTACATTGGGCACTGAGCTGATAGCGTGGAGCCTGCTTGAGATTCTCTCTCTCCCTCTCTCTCTCTCTCTCTCTGCCCCTCCCTCCCAGCTCACACGTGCACGGTCTCTCTCAAAATAAATAAATGTTAATAAAAAAAAGGAAAGTAAAAAAAAAAAAAGTCTTGAAAATAGCAAGGGTGGAATAGCTCATCATGTTCACGGGAACAATGTAATTAAAGGTTGACTTTTCATCAGAAATGATGGAGGTCAGAAGACAGGAATGACACAAAGTACCGAAAGAAAAAAACCTGTCAATAAAACCATCCTTCAAAAATGAGCATTCCCAGATAAACAAAGACTGAGAATTTGTTGCCCTCAGACCTGCCTTACAAAAAATATTAAAGGAAGATGTTGAAGCTGAAAGAATGTAATGCCCGATGATAACATCAATTCACAGGAAGGAATCAAGAGGGCTGTTAATAGTAAATAAATAGATAAATATAAGAGTTTATAACATCTTTTTCCCATTTCTTAATTTCTTTATAAGAGAAAAGACTGTACATAGAAGTAGTTATTACACTGTATTACTGGGGTTATAACATAGACTTAAAATATGTAATAATAGGGTGTCTGGCTGGCTCAGGTACATGAGTTTGAGCCCCAAATCGGGCCTAGAGCTTACTTTAAAAAATATGTAATAACAGCAATACAAAGGAGGGGGGGAAGATATATGGACATCAAGTTTATAATTTACTGGAATCACGTATTATTCTGAAGTGGACTGTGTTAAGATGCATACTATAATGCATACTACAGAAACCACTAAAAAATAAAAAACATAAAAATTTCTACAGAGGAATCAAACTGGCATACTAAAAATACTTCTTTTGCACAAGAGTAAGCAGTAAAGGAGAAAGAGGACCAAAAGAGATGAGACAGATAGAAAATAAATTGCAAAATGGCAGATGTAAAGGGTAAAGATGTCAGACTAAACAAAAGACCAAGACCTAACTACATGCTATATACAAGAAACAGAACCTAAGGCTGAAAGACACAAACTGAAAGCAAAAAGATGGAAAGACATATACTAGGCAAACAGTAACCATAAGAGAGCTGTAATAAATAAGACTGTGTGGTACTAGCACAAGGATAGGTACCTAGACCAATGGAAGAGTATGAAGATCCCAGAAACAAACCCATTCTTTTATGTTTACTTGACTTTTGATAAAGGTGCCAACTCAATAAAAGTACAGACACAATTAGATATCGGTAGGAACTTAAGACCTTTACCTCATACCTTGTTACAAAAATATCAGGTCAGGATGGATTACAGGCCTACGTGTAAGAACTAAAACTATAAAACTCCTAGGAAAAAAGGGAGAAAACTTTTGTGACCCTGTATAAGGTAAAGAATTTTTTATTTTTTTTTTGTTTTTTAAGTAGTCCATACCCAACGTGAGGCTTGAACCACAACCCTGACATCAAGAGTCAGATGCTCTACTGACTGAGCCAGCCAGATGCTACTGGGGAAAGAGTTCTTAATGACACAACACTAAAAGCATGAGCCATTTAAAAAAAGTGATAAAATGGGGGCAGTGATAAACTGGGAGGCTCAGTAGGTTAAGCATCTGACTTCAGCTCAGGTCATGGTCTCATGGTTTGGAGTTTGAGCCCCGTGTCAGACTCTGTGCTGACAGCTCAGAGCCTGGAGCCTGCTTCAGATTCTGTGTCTCCCTCTCTCTCTGCCCCTCCCCTGCTTGCGCTCTGCCTCTCCCTCTCTTTCAAAAATAAGCATTAAAAAAATTAAAAAATAAAAATAAAAGTGATAAAATGAACTTCATTAAAATGAAAAACATTAGTACTTTAAAAGGCACCATTAAGAAGATGAATACAGATCAGGAGAAAATATAGGAAAATCAGATATCTGATAAAGGACTTATATCCAAAATAAAGAACACTTATAACTCAGTAAGACAAACAACCAAACTTGGAAAAAAATGGGCAAAAGACGTAAATAGACAATTCATCAAAGAAAACATAGGAATGGCTAAAAAACACATGAAGAAGTGATCAATATATTAAAAAAGTGACCAACATGTCATTATGGAAATGTGAATTAAAAGTATAGTGAAATACCACACTACACACTCACAAGAATGGCTACACTCCAAAAGACAGATAAATCAAATATTTATAAGGACATGGATAAACTGGAGTTCTCATATACTAGTGGTGGGAATGTCAAATGGTATAGCTACTTTAGAAAACCGTGAGTTTCTTTAAAAAGTTAAACTTTATTTGCCATATAAGCAAACCTTCCACCTCTAGAGATCAATCCAAGAGAAATGGAAACAAATGCACACAAAGCCTCTATGAGATTGTTCACAGCAGCATTATTCAAAATAGCACAAAACTGGAAACTACTTAAATGTCCCATAACTGGTCACTGGATAAACAAATGTGGTATGTGCATACAATGGAAAATCATTCAGCAATAACAAGTAATGAAATATTCACAGAGGCTATATCATAGTTGACCCTCAAAAACACGACACTAGTGAAAGAAAGTAGATGTAAAGATTATAATATATGTTATGCATACTGTATTTGTAAAAGATTATGTACATTGAATACTGATCACTCACACACACACACACACACACACACACACACACACACACTATGACTCTATTCACATAAAAAATATCCAGAACAGATAAAGTTGTAGAAACTGAAATCAGATCAATAGTTGTCTGGAGCTGGGAGTATGGACTGACTGCAAAATGGCTTGTAGGGAATTTTTGTCAAAAAGATGGGAATTTCTGAAATTGGATATGGAGATGGTGGCATACTTCTATAAATGTACTAAAAATTATTAAATTGTACATTTACAATGGAATAGCAAATAGTTAATTTTATCCTGAAACTTTTACCTCAATAAAGCTGTTTCCAAAAAGCTATGGCATTCACTTTAATATAAAGAACAGACTCAGTTTAACCAAAAAACATTACAAATCTACCAATTAAATCTGTTCCATTTAAGTGCCATTGAACAGTTGGGGAAAAAAACTTGCATAAAGTCCTTCCTAATCTATTATTACCATATCTATTTTGTGCATCTGGCCAATTGCTTCAAGAAATAGGCTGCTATCTAACACATGAATTAAAGTAATTTGAGTAGCATCAAGCTTGAGTTGAATTGACAACAGAGAATAACTTCTACTTCTGAAGGTAAGTTTTAATTGATTTTAGTTGTAGGTTCTTTATTTTTGATATTTAGAAGCTTGGCATACAAATAGTACTTTTAAATGTAGTAAAATAAATTTCTGGATGATTTTCTTTTCTTTTGAAATAGTAAAAATAAGGAGAAAAATGCAACGTTTAGTTTTAGAGCTTCATTGATGGCATGGCATGTATGAATTTTTATTTTTTCACTGAACTGGTTCATGTATTTCAATGAAAGAAACCTTTGACTCAAACATTAAAAGCTTTCTGTGTTAAAACTACAAAGGTCTGAAATTATAATATTTTGCTATTTGCTATTCCATTCAAGAAACAATGTGGTTATTGTACTGTATTATTTGTTCCTCTTTCCATGTGATATGTAATACACCACTTACCCTGCTTTCTTCTAGGCTATCAAATGGACCTGGCGGATCATCCAGACAAAGAAATTCTCTCACTGCGAGGCTTTTCAAAGGGGAAAAAAAAATAAGCTGGGGTACAAATAAGTTTACAAAAGAGAGCAAAAAGCAAGTGTTACTTTGAAGCCATTACAGTGTTTTAAACAAATCGGTTTTGCGTATATACTAAAAGCAGCAAGTTGGTTTATGTGTTTTTACATAAACACCAAATACAAACATAAAATCTATAAAAGATACAAAGACTTTAAGTCATTTTCTAAGATCTTATGAAGGTAGAGATTATGAATTCATGCTATATAAAAACTGCAAGACATAAAATATAAGTCAAAATAATGGTATAAGAGACCAACCTAAATGATGAATAGAAACAGTATTACTTCCAAAACAATATCAATTTAAAGTAGTCTAAAAATGTCATGGTCTTGTTATGAAGAAATACTATTTCTAATTTATACTTTGTTTCTTCCTCAGGAGATGCTTCTAAAGCAACTAAAAAGTATTTACTCTAAAACAAGTTAAAGATTTTTGTTGCAATCATGTTTACTACACTAATTTAGTTAAATATTTTCCCTAAAGAGTTTAAGAGAAAAAAACTCTGAACTCATTTTTGAATTACCATAAATTTCAAAATAATGAAATACAGTTGACCCTTCAATCATACAGGGGTTAAGGGTGCTGACTCCCTGTGCAGATGAAAATCTGCACGTATCTTTTGACTCTCCAAAAACTTAACTACTAATAGCCTACTGTTGACTGGAAGCTTTACCAATAACATAAATGGTCAATTGACACATACATTGTATATTATATTATATACTATATTTTTACAATAAAGCTAGAGAAAGGAAAATGTTATTAAGAAAATCATAAGGAAAATACATTTATAGTACTATGCTGTAAAGAATCTGCATATAAGAGGATCTATGTAGTTCAAACCCGTGTTGCTCAAGAGGCAACTGTAATATGGAAAATATGATTTTTTGATGTGCTGCATAAAGGAGATGTCAGGAGATGTCACCCATATACTGAGAAGGGAATGGAATGCTGGGGTTCATGCAGGTGAGACAGGTTGATGACAGGGGATGGTCATGAAGAGCTAAATGGAACAGTGAAAGCTTTCCAAAAGAAAAAGCACTATGAATTAATATAAAGAAGTGGTGTTAAGAAAATGATCCAGAAGACTCCAAAGAGGAGTAAATTTGTGGAGTATAAAATCTTGACCATACAGGTAGTAAAGGACACACATTCAGGGAAACGGAGAAAAAAAGCTGAGTACTCATAATCATGAAATCATACAGATGGAAAGGATCTTAAATGTGATCTAGTTGCTTTCTAAAAGATGTGATCCATAGTATGCTTTCTATCCTTTACATGTGTTCAGCCAGGAGTATACCTAAACACCTCCAGGTTTAGAGAACGTTCCACCTCTTAGAATAAACCATCTTATCCTTGAAAAATACTGAAAATTAGAGAATTTTTTTTTTTTTCCCTGAGCTGGGCTTTTACTCCCTGCAGCTTCTATTCAATGAATCGCAGTTGTGCTTTTGAGCCATTCAGGGTAAATCTAAGTCCTCTTTCACATGATAACACTAACAGAATGTAAAAAATGTTATCTTTCCTCTAACCTTATATTTTTCCAAAACAATACTAATACACTAATATCTTCTTTTCTTTTAACCTGTACACAATTTATTGAGTACTTAAAGCCTATATGGTCTCTGCATTCATGGAGGCAACATTTTTTCCTCCATTTTACTGAGGTATAACTGACAACTAACTGTATATATTTAAGGTGGACAACTCGATTTAAGTACACATTGTGAATTGCGAACTACAATCAAGCTAATTAACATACCCATCATGCCACATGGTTATCATTCCTAATACTTTCAAAGTACATTGCACACGCAGGGCTCTCTCATACTCTGTTTTGTTTAATTTTCACAATAATCATTTGAGGTGAGGACAGGCATTGCATTTCCATTTTATAAATGATACCAAAGTTCAGAGAGTTAAAATGACTCATACAAGGTCACAAGACCTTAAATCTGTCTTCTGAGTGAATATATGTGCCTTTTTCTACATTTAAATTCTTTCCTAGTTATGTTTTGGTTCATTTGGATTCTTTCCCCTTGCTGGTCACTTCTCTCAGACCGCATTCAATTTGTCTGTCATCCTTTAACCAAGGCCTCTAGAATATTGCAGTTGGTCTAACAGAAAAGAGAATAGGACCACTATAGATTCTTTTGGTTTAGATATACTTCTATCCAGCTATTATTTGTATTAGAGAACCAACTATTAGGCAAAAATGAGCCACAGGAAATAAGTTGATCTTGGGACCGAGAGGTCAAAAGTCTGGATGAAACCCTGAGAATAGCCTTTAAGACTGATAAGGAAAGTACACGTAAGTTTATAGAAGGGTCTTTTTTCTTTTTAATGCTTTCAGTATATGATAACCCAATGTGAGACATTGTTTTCTTATAGGCTTATAGCCAGATTTTCTCATTCTTTAGTAACATTACAAATTAATTACTGAAATGCTGCTGCTAGGAAAGAAAAAGTAGGTAAGGGAATATATGTATCTCTTTTTATACCTTTGGTTTATAGTAGAAATTTCGCCCAAGATCAACAGTGATGTTGACAATGTACCCAGCTGTAGAAACTTTTTCGGAGTGGCTATTCTATTTCATTCTCCTTCCCTAAACATCTTTATGATCTATAGTACATCCCCATGACTTATTTTATAACTGAAAATTTGTACCTCTTAATCCCCTTCACCTAATGTACACCATAGGGAATATGGTCAGTAACAATGCAGTAACTTTGTAGTGACAGATGGTAGCCAGACTTATTGTGGGAATCATTTAACAATGTATAAAAATACTGAATCACTATGATATACACCTGAAACTAATGGGGTATTGTATGTCCATTTATACAGTTCAGTAAAAAGAGAAAAATCTTTATGATCTCTAGCTCTCTAGAGTTCTACTCAAACGAAATCCAATGGATCCCCTAAGTTATTTTTCAGTGTAGTTCAAGGTTATATTCTATGCCCTACTTTCTTTAATCTGTAGCAGAAAAATGAAATTTAAAACTGGCTTTATGACTCTGATTTATAAAATACTTTTTCAGTTGTTCACTCCAATTCTTCTGTTTCAATGGGACTCAGGTGTTGGAGAAGGAGTCAATATGCTCAAACACTATTGCATGGAAGAGGGACACACAAGAATCTCTGGGAGATGGTAGTATTTGGGAAAACAATTCTTCTCAGGCATTCAGATACCTTTTTCTTTTCCCTCTGGAAAAGGAAACCCTTACCCCTGCTCGAGAATCACTGACTAGAGACCTTTATTTAGATTTGATAAATAGTTGACTGCCTATGTGTGTCATGGTTCTGCTCAGCGATTTCCTACATGTTATAAACCAAGATTTGTTTTCTCTATAATTTTTATTTTATTACTTTATTTTTTTAGAGAGAGACAGAGAACGCATTCAAGTTGGGGAGAGGGGCAGACAGAAAGAGAGAAAGAGAGAAAGAGAGCAAGAGAGCGAATCACATGAGGCTTGATTCCATGACCCTGGGATCACGACCTAATCCAAAATCAAGAGTTGGGATGCTCAACCGAAATAAGTTGATCTTGGGACTGAGAGGTCAAAAGTCTCAGTGAGCCACCCAGGGAGTTTCTAAGCCACCTGAGCCACCCACTGAGCCACCCAGGCACCCCATCAATGTATGATTCGTGAATGAATCAAATGAATTCAAATAAAACATAAATATCAAAGAGTCTATATTATTAAATGCTTATAAATAAAATAGAAGTCAGTTTCCAAGGAAAAAAATTTTACTTTTCCCCCTCCTTGTTCATGGACTGATAGGTTCAATACAGCTCCCAACCTGTATTCAATCTTTACTACTTTTGCTTCCATTTGGCCATGGTAATAAAGGTAGGACAAACATTAGGATAAAAGAGAAACCTATTTGGGGGTGCCTGGGTGGCTCAGCCAGTTAACTGTCTGATATCAGATCAGGTCATGATCTCACAGTTAGTGAGTTTGAGCTGTGCATTGGCACAGTGCAGAGCCTGCTTGCGTTTCTCTTTCTCTCCCTCTCTCTTTGCTCCTCTCCTACTTGTGCTCTCTCTCAAATAAATAAACTTAAAGAGAGAAATCTATTTGACTAAGAAAAATGCAACAATCTGGAATTAAAAGGTAAAGAAAGACTCTGTACAGGGGCGCCTGGGTGGCTCAGTGGGTTAAGCGTCCAACTTCAGCTCAGGTCATGATCTCACAGTTTGTGAGTTTGAGCCCTGTGTCGGGCTCTGTGAGGACAGCTCAGAGCCTGGAGCCTGCTTCAGATTCTGTGTCTCCCTCTTTCTCTGCCCCTCCTCTGCTCACTCTCTGTCTGTCAATAATCAATAAACGTT